ATTATCAGAACTGTGTACAACTTATAGTGATATATTCGGTCTTGAATCGGAACCGATATCAGCTAACAATTTTTATAAACAAAAACTTCGTTTAAGCGATAAAACACCACTATATATAAAAAATTATAGAAATGCAGAAAGTGAAAAGCCAGAAATAAACAAACAGGTTGACAAATTAATAAAGGATGGTATAGTCGAACCTTCAATTTCAGAATATAACAGTCCATTATTGTTGGTTCCAAAAAAATGTTTACCAAATTCAACAGAAAAACGATGGAGACTAGTGGTTGACTATAGACAAATAAACAAAAAATTATTAGCTGACAAATTTCCTTTACCACGCATAGAAGATATATTAGATCAGTTAGGACGGGCTAAATACTTTTCTTGCTTGGACCTTATGTCCGGATTTCACCAAATAGAGTTGTCCGAAAGGTCTAGAAACCTTACATCATTCTCTACAAATAAAGGTTCATTTCGTTATACGAGATTGCCGTACGGATTAAAAGTGGCACCAAATTCGTTCATGAGAATGATGACCTTAGCATTTTCCGGTCTCGAACCATTACAGGCGTTCCTATACATGGACGATCTAGTAGTCATAGGATGCTCCGAACAACATATGTTTAACAATTTAACAAAAGTATTTCAGTTATGCCGTAAATTTAACTTAAAACTTCACCCAGAAAAATGTTCATTCTTTATGCACGAAGTTACATATCTGGGTCATAGGTGCACAGACAAGGGTATATTACCAGATGAAAACAAATACGAAGCAATCAAAAATTATCCAGTGCCCAAAAACTCAGATGAGGCGCGTAGATTCGTAGCATTCTGTAATTACTATAGAAGATTTATAAAAAATTTTGCAGATTACTCTAGGCATATAACAAAACTTTGCAAGAAAAATGTCCAGTTCGAATGGAATAAAGATTGTAATGACGCATTTAATTATTTAAAAGAGGCCTTAATGAGCCCAAAACTCTTACAATACCCAGATTTCAACAAAGAATTTTGTATAACAACAGATGCTAGCAAATACGCTTGCGGAGCAGTACTTACGCAGGAACATGGGGGCGCGCACCTACCAATTGCATATGCATCTCGATCATTCACGAAAGGAGAATCCAACAAGTCAACCACTGAGCAAGAATTAGCAGCCATCCAACTCGTAAAAACCAGGATCAGAAATCAGAAAAGGAACCCTTGCAGAAGCAAGAGCTTCAAGAGCCCAGAGTCTACGACGTTGTCAATAACAATGACATCAGGAAATATGTGAAACTTAAATTCGTCAAACATAAGTGTTTGTTTAAACGAGGAAAACGAATAATTTCACAATTTGAAATTGATGATTTGTACTCTAATGGGAAAATTGATTTAAAACAATTTTTCCAAAGGCTTGAGATACAGGCCGGAGTGCAAAACATAAAACAATTCCAAATGGCACCAAGCGCACTGATTCTAAAGTCAGTATTACTACGAGAATTTAAAGAAATGGGCAACCGTACATTACAAAAAGTACAAATAGCGCTACGTTCTGAGGTGACCATAGAAGACAAAAACAATGAAAAAAGTATAAGAGAAATCTTAAAAAAATTTCATGACGATCCAATCGAGGGAGGTCATTCAGGAATAACAAGAACATTATTAAAAATAAGGCGACATTACTATTGGCCTAACATGACAAAAGTAGTCACCAAATACGTAAAAACATGTCAGACCTGTCAAAAATCTAAGACAATCACTCATACAAAAACACCAATGACCATTACCGAGACACCTACATCAGCTTTTGACACAGTATGTTATTAATTGATACTATTGGCCCATTACCGCGCTCGGAGGAGGGAAACGAATACGCAGTCACAATTATTTGTGATTTAACTAAATACTTAGTAACAGTACCGATTCCGAATAAAAGCGCAACTGCCGTTGCAAAAGCAATTTTTGAAAACTTTATACTCGTTTACGGCCCAATGAAGGTTATTCTAACAGACATGGGCACAGAGTATAAAAACAGTATAATAAGAGACTTATGCAAATATATGAAAATTGACAACATTTCATCGACTGCACACCACCATCAAACCTTAGGGACTATTGAACGCAGTCACCGAACGTTTAACGAATATGTCCGTTCATATATTTCAAGTGACAAAAGTGATTGGGACATATGGTTGAAATATTTCACCTATTGTTTCAACACTACACCATCAGTCACGCATAATTATTGCCCATACGAATTAGTGTTTGGGAGACCTGCTCGAAAATTTATAGATATTTCTAAAATAAATCAAATAGATCCTATATATAACATATATGATTATGCTAAGGAAATTAAGTTTAGGTTAGAATCAGCATACAAACGGGCAAGAGCCATGCTAGAAAGGGAAAAAGAAAAGCGAAAAACGCTATACGACAAAGACGTAAATAACTTCGACCTAAAAATCGGAGACCAGGTCTTACTCAAGAACGAAACCGGTCACAAATTAGATCGGAATTATTTAGGACCATTTAAGGTAATAGGAATAGACGATAGGAATAATGTTAAAATCATAGACAGTAAGAAAAAACAACAGACAGTAAGCAAAAATAGATTAAAACCATTTTTCGAATAATACAACGTAATTAAACAAATATATATGTATATGTAAGAACATACAAAGTTTTTCTATATCCTTTAATCAATTCTTAATTCCTTTTTAACTTTCAATTATATTAACATTAAAAAAAAAAAAAAAAAAAAAAAAATTTTTGAAAATTAAAAATAAGACCCACATAAAAACAATTCAACACCCAACATATATGCATCATCATATCATTACATACATTTGCATTCAATTTTATTTCTTTTTAATTTTATATTCATTCTTTTAAAAAAAAAAAAAAAAAACTATTTTAGAATGACTTCATAAATATACGTCATTCATTTTAACGGGGGAGGTGTAGCGAGCGGAGTATATAATTTTAAGTCTATTTTAATTACATAAATATATCCGTTGTATGGGCACATGCAAATGATTTCAATTGATATTTTAATTACATAAATACATACATTGTATATGCCCATACAAACTAACACATTGCTTCTCAAGTGTCCGGCCAGCGAGCCGGCCCTAAAATGCTGACCATGCATTCCCACGGAGACGACTGGCCTTCACACCAACTAACACTTAAAGCCAGCCGTCTCGTGGTATATATAAACATAGGGAAAATATGCCAATGCAAGTATATACTCCTATCGCTGCTCACTTCAGTTTTTAGCCTTTAAGAATATATGTTTGAGAATAAAGTTCAGTTCAGAATACCACTCACAACGGCACAGTGTTATAATTTGTATCGATCTTACAATCTAATTGTACAACACACAATTGTGGCAAAGTCGCCTTTAACTAACGATGGTTTTCGCTCAGCCTGGGATAACCTAACTAAGCGTTTCGAAAACAAACGGTTGTTAGTAAACAGTCATTTGAAAATACTGTTCAATGTGCAGTCCATCACTCAGGAATCTGGGCCAGCTTTGCGAGAGCTTCAAGACACCATCCAGAGTTGCCTTACCGCTTTAGAAACGAGCGATATTAGCACCGACAATTGGGATTGCCTTTTAGTTTATATGGTCTCCGCCAAACTTCCAAAGTTGACACTTTCCCTCTGGGAGCAGTCGCTCCACAACAAGGTCGATGTTCCCACGTGGCAGGAGTTAAATAACTTCCTCACTGAGCGTCACAGGACACTAGAGGCCATAGATGATGTCCGTCCGTCAGGCTCTAGTCAGCCTTAGCCCAGAGCGGCAGCCTCTAATTCCACGGCACGCAGAATCCACTCCTTTGAAGCAAGAGTAGTACCCAGAGGTAGAGGGTGCGACTTGTGCAATCGAGAAAACCATCCAGTGCGGACATGCGCACGGTTTCTCCGGATGTCTGTCGATGAGCGGTCCGCGTATATCAAAGGCAAAAAAGCTGTGTCTGAACTGCTTTGCACGAGGACATCAGCTACGGGACTGTGACAGCACTCATAGTTGCTTCACGTGCCGCGGCCGCCATCACACGCTTCTCCATCGAGGTAACGCGTCTCCAACGCTCTCGACTCCAACTCCAACTTCTTCGCCCAGGTCAAGACCAACTACGACCGCTCCAGCGACTACCAGTGCCGCAACCTCCACGGTGCAAAATTATCTTGCCACGGGTCATAGATCCGTCTTGCTGGGCACCGCCATTATTGACGTTTGCCATTTGGGATCAACCTTCAAGGCTCGTGCCTTGATCGACTCTGGATCGGAGGCAACATTCATGACCGAGCGGCTGTTCAACTTGATTAAGTTGCCTCATCAGATCATTCGAGCCCAAGTCTCCGGCTTAAGCCAAACACTGGCAGCAGAGTCCAAAAAGCTCTGCCAATTTTCAATTCGATCTCCGACCAGGCCTGGCCTGCAACTAGACGCGACGGCGTATGTCCTTCCGCAATTAGCTGGTCAACTTCCGTCCTGCTCAATTCCGCAGCATTTCCTACGGGAACTTCCCGAATTTTCTTTGGCAGACCCGAAATTCTATGAGAGTGCACAAATAGACGTGTTAATCGGGGCTGATCTGCTGCCTTCCATACTCCTAAGCGGCACCCGAGCAAACGTCTGTGGCTCTCTTCTTGGTCAAGAGACCATATTCGGTTGGATCCTTACCGGACCAATACCAGCTGCTAGGCAAGAGCAAATTTCCGCTTTCTCCACTCGAATCTCCCATATATTTGATTCAAACCTGGATCAACTTCTCACCAAGTTTTGGGAGGTGGAGGATCTGCCAATAAAAATGGCAAAAGATTCCGATTTGGCTTGTGAGGAAAATTTCCTCCGGACAACCACGAGAGACTTTAGTGGAAAATATATCGTACACCTTCCATTCCGTGATCCAGAGAACGTAAAGTCCGCCCTGGGACACTCCAGATCCTTCGCGTTGGCTCAATTCTTAAGAAACGAGCAGCGTTTAAAAAGGGACAGCCAACAGAAAATGAAGTACGATACCGTCATTCAAGAATATCTTGATCTCAACCACATGAAAGAGGTCTTTCCTACCCATGATTCTGCGAGTTATTATCTTCCGCATCATGCCGTGCTCAAGCCGGAAAGTACGACCACCAAGCTTCGTGTGGTGTTCAATGCCTCCAGCCCTTCAGACAATGGGGTCAGTCTTAATGATATCCTTCATGCTAGCCCGGTCTTACAGTCCGATCTGACCATTCAAATTCTGAAGTGGCGATATTTCCGATACGTTTACAGTGCCGATATCGAGAAAATGTATCGACAGATCTGGGTAGACCCGAAGCATACCCCGTTCCAACGCATTTTATTCCGAAACAGCGAGGGGTACATTCGAGATTTTGAGTTAAAGACGGTAACTTTCGGGATTAATTGTGCGCCCTTCCTGGCGATACGAGTCCTACAACAGCTGGCGACTGACGTGCAGCTCAGCCATCCAAGAGCGAGCAAAGTCATTCGTAATGCAATGTATGTAGACGATGTCCTTTCGGGAGCTGACTCTGCTGAAGATGCTCAGCTCACAATAAAGGAGTTACAGAGTGCCCTAGACTCCGCGGGCTTTCCGTTAAGAAAATGGACGTCCAACAACAAAGAGGTGTTAGCTCATATCCAAGCCGGTCATCTTCTGAACAGCGATTTCCTTGATCTCGACACTGAAAGTACAGCCAAGACTCTCGGTGTACGGTGGAGAGCGACGTCCGATGAGTTTTTCTTCGTCCCCCCAGATCTACCCACAGAAATCTCCCCCACAAAACGCCAGGTGCTTTCCCAAATTGCCAAACTGTTTGATCCAGCAGGCTGGCGCGCTCCATTTGTTGTGTGTGCCAAGATCTTTATGCAAGAGATTTGGCTTCAGGAGCTGGGGTGGGACGATAAGCTGCCATCTGAGTTGTGCCAAAGGTGGCACAGTTTTCTTCAGAGCTATTCGGTCCTTGATCAGGTCCGGATTCCAAGATGGGTTTCCTTTCGCCCAGAATTCCGCTTAGAGCATCATGGATTTTGTGATGCCTCGCAGAAAGCCTACGGCGCTGCGATCTACGTGCGCGTAGAGATGGGACATACCACGATGGTACACCTGCTCACCGCCAGGACGCGTGTTGCGCCAGTCAAAACTGTGTCGCTTCCTCGCCTAGAGCTGTGCGGAGCTTTACTGCTAGCCGAAATGGCTGAAGCGATTCTTCCCAGCATGCCGATGCTGAATTCGAGCCTCCACTGCTGGACCGATTCCACCATTGTGTTGGCATGGTTAGCAAAACCAGCTTGCCATTGGACTACGTTCGTTGCCAACAGAGTGACGAAGATCACTCAGTCCACAGAGGCAGCCAACTGGTCGCACGTTCAATCCGAACATAATCCCGCTGACTTGGCTAGTCGAGGGGTAGCCCTTCCAGAGCTTGTCGGTAGTTCTCTCTGGTGGCATGGACCCACTTGGTTGCAAAAGCCACGCAGCCAATGGCCTAGCCAGGGGACCGACCTTCCCGTGACCGAGATCGAAAAGCGAGCAGTCAAAGCCCACGTAGCATATATTCCGAACGAAGATTTCCTTGATCGTTTTTCCAAATTGGATAGAGCGTTGCGGGTCCTCGCGTATGTCCAGCGTTTTATCAATCGGTGCAAGAAACAATCGCCGCTTTCAGAGATCCGTCTGGAGGCCAAGGAACTTGTCGCCGCCGAACGGCTCATGATTCTCTGCACTCAGCGCAGGTATTTAACGAACGAGTATCGCTGTTTGAGTCAGAAGCTTCCGGTGCCCCCTTCCAGTTCGATCCTCTCCTTAAACCCTTTCCTAGATCAGGAGGGGCTGATAAGGGCATGTGGCCGTGTCACAGCCTCTGAAAGTTTGCGTTACGATGAACGACACCCGATAATCCTCCCGTACGAATGTTCACTCTCTCGGCTTCTGGTAAAGTTCACCCATCTCATTACGCTACACGGGGGTAATCAGTTGGTGGTACGTCTCACCCGTTCCAGATATTGGGTTCCGAGAGCTAAAAACTTGGTGAAGGCAGTTATCAATGCCTGCAAGGTCTGCGTGATCTACAAAAAGAGATTGCAAAGTCAGATGATGGGAAATTTGCCAAGAGAACGAGTGTCATTCTCCCGTCCATTCACGTACACGGGTATGGACTACGCAGGGCCCTTCGACATAAAGAATTACACTGGCAGAGCCTGCCTTATTACTAAAGGGTATGTGTTGGTTTTCGTTTGCTTCTCCACCAAGGCTATCCATTTGGAGCCTACTTCAGATCTGACGACCGAGAAATTTCTTGCGGCATTCGCTCGGTTCGTATCCAGAAGAGGGTGTCCTCGCCAAGTGCAGTCGGACAATGGGAAGACCTTTGTTGGCGCTGCCACATTACTGTCCCGAGATTTTCTCCAGGCCGTTAAAGAGTTTGTGACTGATGCGTATAGTCATCAGCAGCTCGACTAGCATTTCATTCCGCCAGGAGCACCCCATATGGGAGGCCTATGGGAAGCTGGTGTCAAGAGCTTCAAGGCATTGTTTTATAAATGCACAGCTACGCGGAAATACACCTTTGAAGAACTTGCCACTCTGCTAGCGAAGATTGAAGCTTGTCTAAATTCCAGACCGCTATCTCCCATGTCAGAGGATCCCACTGATCTTCTAGCGTTGACACCAGGGCACTTTCTTGTCGGCGGCCCTCTTCTATCCATAGTGGAGCCCGAAGTAAAGGGAGAATCTAAGACCATATTAAACAGGTGGCAACACTTGAAAGCGCTCCATCAGCAATTCCGCGCTCGATGGAAGGATGAATACCTAAAAGAGCTCCACAAGCGCAACAAGTGGAAGTGTCCCACCGAGAATATGCGTGTCGGGGACATGGTCGTCATCAAAGACGACAATCTGCCCTCAAATGAGTGGCGACTCGGTAGAATCGACTCCGTCCTTCCTGGAGCCGATGGCAATGTCCGCGTAGTCGACATCCGGACGGCGCGCGGCATTGTCCGGCGTCCAGTAGCCAAAATTGTTCTCCTTCCCGGAGAGGCTCCCCAAACTTCTACCCAGTAATCCATACTTCGTTGTCCGTAGTCCGTAAGGCCCGAATCTTTCCATTATAAAACATCTTCCTGTGTTTTTTTTCTTTTTCATGATCCAACGCCGACATCCGTAGACAATGGCTCCGCGTAAGCAGAACGCTCAAGTGTTGGAGAGCAGGCGGACTCGAGGCACGCAGTCCTACCGGTGCCGAGTCTGCCGGGGGATCCACCCTCTAAAGAGGTGCCAGAGGTTCCTCAAGCTGAGCGCGGAGAAGCGGCTACGGGCAGTTCTGGTTAATAAGTACTGCGCAAATTGCCTTGCCCACGAGCATTCGCAAGGGGACTGCCGTAGCGGTGACCGGTGCAGAACGTGCGATGAGGAGCATCACACGCTGCTCCACATCACCGAGCCTTCCAAGCCTTCCAAAAGGGGCTCCGCTTCTCAGCAGCGTTCGCGCCGGCAAGATCCGCCAACTCGCAGAGCTCTTGCTTCTCCACCGCGCTCAGCATCCTCGACACCAGAGCCCTTGACTCGCGCACGCGCGCTGCTCCGACGCTGGCAACCCTCCTTCAACACCACGTCGTCAACGTCCTTCCAACGGCTTTGGTCACCCTGGAGGCGGGTCCGAAGATCGTGGACACCGTGGCTCTCATAGACCCCTGCTCGCCTCAAAGCTGCATCGACGCCACCCTGGCGTCCAGCCTTCGTCTGCCGACCACCAATGTCGGAAAGGAAAGGGTGTGCACGGCGATCCTCTGATCGAAGGTCGTCGAGGGAGCTGCGTTGGATGTCGTCCTAAAGATCGAACCCGGCGTCGGCGTCCGCACCCCCATCCGAGCGATCGACGAGTCTGTCGTCGGCCGCTACAAGGACCTTCCGCTGGCCGACAAGCGGTTCTATCTGCCGGCGTCGATTTCCATGGTCCTGGGTGCGGATGTCTACGCCAAGGTCATCCAACCAGGATTCCACCTGGTCGCCGAGGGATTGCCGGTGGCCCAGAAGACCATCTTCGGCTGGATCCTGTCCGGCGCCTGCAACCAGGGCTAATTATGTTGCAACGCCAGCGGTTGCAAGGGGGGCGGAATGTTCAGGCCTCTCCCGCTCTCCCTCTCCCGCAGCTTCTCCCCACACCGCACTCTCCCTCTCCCGAAGCTTGGAGCATGTCGCGCTCGGCCGTCCAGGCTCTCCACTCCCCGAGCGCGAGAAGTCCCCGCTGCGCCTCCAAGCGCCTAGCTTAGAATAGCTTAAGTTAGTTCCAATACGTCAACGCACTGAATAAACGCCCGGCCGGTCCGCGCTATACCCGAAATTTCCAAGTACTTTTATTTTCGCGATCGCCGAGTGTGGTTTTTTCTCGCCCCCACAGCCTACCCCGCCAGCCGTCGCTGACCAGGAGTTTTGCTGCCTTCAAGAAGGACGCCCCGCCACTTCACTGTGCAACGGTACGCGTTAATGGCAATAAATAAGCAGATTGTTTTTTTTATAGGAAAAAATTACAACAAAAATTAAAAACCTACTAAATAGGTTTCTCTTCACTTAAGTGCCTTGTAATACACGACATTTTTTGTTTTATTATCAGGCGCAAAAACAAACAACGCAGATGGTTTTCCGACCCGTGAACATGCCACGTATAATTGACCATGTGAAAAACATGGATGTTCTAGATTTAAACCACAAACTTTTAAGGATTGGCCTTGTGATTTGTTGATGGTCATGGCAAATGCAAGACGTATCGGAAATTGAATTCTTTTAAATTCAAACGGCATATCGGTTGTATCATCGGTATTCTCGGTATGAGAACTTCCTCACCTTTGAATTTTCCTATCATTATCGTAGCGTAAATTACATTGTTCATTAGTTTTCTAACCACCAAACGCGTACCGTTGCACAGTTTTGGTTGGTTTATGTTTCGAAGCATGATTACTACGGATCTAACCTTTAGACGTAAATTATGCGGTGGTAAGCCAGGCACGTCCAAAGAGTTTAAAAATTCAATTGGATAGTTGGTGGCTTCATCTGTATTTGTGACGCAGTCAATAGATTTGAATGAATACATTGTTTCAATGATCTTATTTTGAATTATGTAGTTCAGGTCGTCAACATCTTTATTCTTAGCCGCTAAAATTGCTCTCTCACTCAACCATTCCTTATTTTTGTAGTTAGAAATAATGTTTGGAAATACATTGTTGATAAGTTCCTCTTTTGATGAGACAAAATTACAAAAATTATTTGGAAATGATATTAATCCGCTCGATTCATCGACAGGTACTTGACCATTGCCGATAGTCAGCAATTGCTTCGAGAAATCTTCAGCAGATGTATCGTTAAGCAATGTAACTCTCATGTTTGACGATTTCAGGCAAGCGTTTATTTCGTCGGCAGCCGTAGATCTTGGAATTACTGGCAGTATTTGGCGGAAATCGCCAGACAGTAAAATCATTGCTCCTCCAAAACATCTCGAGTCATTCCGTAAATCCTTTAATGTTCGGTTAAGTGCTTCTAATGCACGTTTATGCGCCATTGTGCATTCGTCCCAGATGATGATTTTCGATTCCATTAAAACTTTGGCCATTGCTGAGTGTTTTGCAATATTACACGTTGGTTCTTCAATAATTTAAAGATTTAACGGTAATTTTAATGCTGAATGAGCCGTTCGGCATCCTTCTAACAATGTGGCTGCTATTCCAGAAGAAGCAACTGCAACAGCTATGTTGGATCTCGCCCGAACAGTTGCTAAAACTAATGACATAAGGAATGTCTTGCCAGTTCCACCAGGGACATCTAGGAAATATAAACCACCATTTTCTTCATCGATTACCTTCATTAATGTATCATAAACTTTCTTCTGTTGGGAATTCAACAGGGGTACATTCGTTTGAACTAATAAATTTAATTCTTGGTGATCATATTCACGTTCCCGTTCTAATTCTCGATTAAATGCCTCATTCATTTCACGATATGGCGCTGGCATTCCTAACCTGATTAATAAAGTAAAGCCCGATGATGTATCTCCTCATTCATCTCAATGTCGTGATTTCTGGAACTGACACGAATTTGATGTAAAATATCTTCTGACATATTATCCTTGTATTTGTGCCACAGGTTACATGGGTTTGAGGGAGTACATGTCGAAATTATGATAGCGAATAATGTGCGTATCTGACTTGGAGATGCAGAGATAATGGCTTAAGCTATTGTCGTATCCCAATGGGTATCGTTTTCTAATAAGTTCAATTCTTCACATGCAGCACGATATGTTGGGAATATTACACCATTAACAGTTCGTAGTGTCTCAAATGATGTTGGCCCACGCACATTTACCAGCAACAACCGCAAATAGAAACATTCTTCATTCTTTGGATGAACTGTATACATACGACCAAGAGCATCAGTAGAACGCACATCTGGATACCCAGGAACCGCTTCCCCTTGTTTCCGTCTTTGAAATTTTTTCGATGAAGCATTCCAAGTATAATAACGTGGCATCTCCGAGTAAAACAAAGTTCGTGCAAACTGATCGCTTTGGCAGATTGCAAAAAAACTGGTCAATGTAGTTGCTGGAGGTGTTTCAGCACGTTGCATAGCATTCGAAGCCGTGAAATATACTCGTTGACCATTCTCCAGATGCACCGCCAAATGCATTACAGTAGGATGTCGTTCGTGAATGGCAAATGCGAATATACGCCAAATAGCTTCATTACTGTTCACATAACGACCAACTTGATAGCGAGAAATTTCATCGTTGGTATTCGAGGATTGCAATCCAAAAACCGCCATATCACTGCCTTTCGTGACATATTTGGAAATATATTTTATGGACTTAACTGAATTGCAGTATTCAACGTTGCAATGTGTCTTGAACGTTTTAGAAATAAGTGGCGAATATGGAACAATCTAACTGTTGTCGACAACGAAATCCATTCTTTTCACTTTCGTTGTGACAGTTCGACCGTTGTCATCTGGTGATCGACGCCGATACAGCGGATAACCATCATTGCCAGTGACAGTCTCCGCCGTTAATTTCCGTGGATATCATTTAGAGCACTTACCATTGACCATGCAAGGCGATTGGGGATTGATGGCACCACACGGTCCATGAATCATATTTGTAGTAATAACGTCATGTAGGTCTGGATTGACTTCATAATCAGGAATCTCGGCACATATAATATCATCTATTTGGTCAGGTTGAATTCTTTCCACTAACCAAATAAGAATGTGTGCGTGCGGCAGGCCTCGCTTTTGCCATTCGATTGAATACATCCAGCATCGAGTATCTCCAAAGACGCGTTGTTTAAATTTGATGTTTATCCGGGAAGCAGCAATTGAGTAATTTCTATCCATTTTGGATTAAAGGTAAAAGTAATAAAAAGATCTGGCCGACCGTTATGACGAACATATGTCATTGCATCTTATGCATATTCATGCAT